TTCTATCTCTGCCTGATTGGGGCTAGTTTGTCTGCCGGGCGTCTCCCGGGCCCAAAGCAGGGAGTGGAGGTGGGAGCCCAAGGTGGTGTAAGATAAGTTCAGGTCTCCCGGGAGCCCGGCTTGCTACCTGCGAGACCCTGCGACTTTCGAACCCACTAGAACACAGTAGCTGAGGTCAGGAGGACGCAGATGCCAAGGCTCGCCAAAGAAGGGAGGCCCTGTAATTCCTGGCCTCGCCAGCACAGCTTCCCTAGTGGTCAGAAAAACCGCGCCACCCGGCGTGGCACTCCCGGGGTGAAGGAGGGGTGAAAGGGTGAGCCGGAGCAACGAGTGCCCGCCCGTAGCCTGTGGCCGCCTACAAAACCCTGGCACCGCCGCCTCCCGCCTCCCTGAGCCAGACCGGACCTAGCGGAAAAGGAAGAGTTCTTTGAGGAGGGATCTCTGGCGGTCCTTGGACTGCAGAGCCTATGTAGGTCACATAGCCCACCGCCCTCCAATGCTTTTGACAGACTGCAGAAACTCAAATGAATTCTATGTTGTTGTTGTTTTTTTTTTTAATGTAAATCACACCTGAAGCTCCTCAAGAAAGAAGTGATGTTGTCTCAACCTTCCCATGCTATGAGAAGATGTCACCCGGTTTTTGGTTCTCCTGAAAACTTTCAAGAACTCTTGAACTTTTAAAAATTTGCTGCCAGGCTATGGCTTATTTTGCAGTTGAGGGACCTGCAGCCACCTACCCTTCTTGCCCTAAAGTTCATTTTTTGCAGCCCTTCTCTAGTTCTGGCAAGAATCCTACTTTTTCTTAACCAAGAACTTAGTCTTTTGTCAAATTCTAAATTTGGTAGAGTGTTAGTGTGAATGTTGGAAGCGTGGGGGGGGAGGGGGGGGGGGGGGGTGAAATTCACAGCTTATCCTTAGCAAATGCAATCGTGTCTAAAGGTGACTCACATTCTTACAGATCAGAGATCTCCTTGGTACATTGTTCAGGAACTAATGTTTCTGTTACTGCTGGTATCTACTGAAGACAAAAGACAAAAGCAGGCAGCTGCTCATATCACATTTTAGAATCCACCTATCATGTGGGATGTGGTGACAAACACCTGCAATCCCTGCACTTTGAAGTACTTTAAGTCTGAAGTTCAAGCCTGCCTAGACTTTGTAGAATCTCTCTAAATATTATGTTAATTTGCATAGAGAAGTCATCTTAATTATGAGTAGAACTATTCCCTAGGCAGGAGATTCTGGACCATGTGAGTGGAGAAAGCAAACTGAGCACTATGTGTGCACACTTTATTTATTTATTTATTTATTTATTTTTGCTTTTTTTTTTCTGATCGAGGACATGTGACCAGCTAATGCACATTCCTGTGGCCTTGACTTACCCACGATGACAGACTACTTTGAACTGTGAGCTAAATTCTTTCTCCCTTAAGTTGCTTTGGTTTGAGTATTTTATCACAGCAGTAACAAACAAAGATACCAGGGTATGTTTTCTATTATTTAAAATGAAGAGTCTTCTGACAGATGGTAATGATGTGTTTCCTGTGGTAGAAGTCCTTGGATTTAATCCACAATAAGATGACTAAAATAGTAAAAAACATTCACAACTGTTTTCTTTAGGCTCACCTCTGAGGAAATGGAAAATACAAAGTTTTCTAGATATCGCCTCTTTGGTGCTCACTAGCGTCTTGGGAAGAGACTCTACCATAGGATTCTATTCAACCTGAAAACAGCCAGCCTGTGATTCCTAACCACACTTCTTCTTTTAGACAAGTCTTCTGCAATTTATTGTGCATTTATACTTTCTTTGACTTTTTCTAACACACAACTTATGTCAGAGAGGGTCACATGGGAGGAAAATAAGGTTATTTCTCCATACACAGCACCAAATACCTATCTGTTTAATCTGTATTAAATTGCTACCTCCCCACACATTGCTAGTATAGTAATTTTTAATTTTTTTTCATTTCCCATAGGTTCTATGACTTAAAAGTAGTGACAACACAGTATCAGTATTCATACATGGAATGTGTGTGTGTGTGTGTGTGTGTGTGTGTGTGTGTGTGTGTATCTGCTCACATGTGTATATATGCATGTGTGGGTACATGTGTCTAATTGACAAAGGAATCTTCCTCAGTCACTCTCCACCTTATGTATTGAGGCAGGGTCTCCCACTTGAACCCAGAGCACCCCAGATAGTCCAGCTAGCCAGTTTGCATCGAAGACTACCTGTCTCTACCTCCTATGAACTGGGACTAAAGCTATGCCCACCCAGCATTTACTTGAATGCTAGGGATCTGAACTCCAGTGTTTACCCTTTCATGAAAAGTTCTTAGCTTTTGAGGCACAGCCTTAAACTTGTATATTTTAGTACCCTTTTCTTGAGTAAAATCTTATCTGGAAACACAAAATGTAACTGTTATAAAGCAAGAAGTTGATAGGATAAGGTAAGGGGCTCTTTGTGCCACTTGCCTGCCTTTCTTTTCTACAAAACCTCTGGATACTTGAGTCAGTGCCATGATCATCTTGGAATTTACTGGAAATGTAAGTTTTGTGTCATCACTAAACCAAAAATGGCAGATTAGAGTGGAGTGGGGGGGGCTGTTTTAGGAAACTTTGCAAGCATGCCAGGGTTGCAGAATGATTGCCCTAGGGCTTCTGGAACATACTGAAACCCACTCTAATAAAATGCTAATATATCATATGACACAGTGTTTTAGTTTCCTTTCTATTGATGGGATAAGGACCATGACTAAAAGCAACTTTAGGGGGAAAGGGTTCATTTCATTTTATATCCTACAGTCCATCATGAAGGAAAGTCAAGGTAGGAACTAAAGTAGAGGTCATGGAGGAATTGTTTGTAGCTTGCTCTCCACTGATCCCTCGCCTTTCTTTTTTATATAATCCAGGACCACCTCCCCAGGGATGACATCACTTGTAGTGGGTTGGGCCCTTCTACATCAATGATAAATCAAGAAAATTTCCCCCAGACTTGGCTACTGGCCAACATAATCAAGGAATTGTCTCTGTTAGATTCCCTCTTCCCAAAAGATTCTACTTTGTGTCAAGTTGGCAAAAGAAGAAAAAGAAGAAGAAGAAGAAGAAGAAGAAGAAGAAGAGGAGGAGGAGGAGGAGGAGGAGGAGGAGGAGGAGGAGGACCCAAAAACTAACTTGAGCATAGTTCAACCGGTACTTGTCAAACTATTGGCACTGGCATTGATTGGTGCCTAAAAATGTCAGAAGGTGTGCAATTCCCAGCAGGGGTACAAGGATATCACTTATATACATAGCAGCAAAGATGGTGTGGAAATCAGACTCAATCAGGGATAAGCATTGTAGAGAAAGAGTTTGAGTGGCCAAAACAAACTGAGATGATATCCTCAACAACAAAAAGTCAGTAGGATCCATTTACTGGCCATCTGTACTCCAGCCACTGCAGTAACTGTGATATTAGAATATGCTTCCATTGGTTTTAAAACTTGTGTGTATTTTAAAGTTACAAACACAAACAGAAATGTCCTGGACTCTTACTCAACACAAGGCCCACAAACTAGCAGCACTGGCAGAATTAAGAGCGTGTAAGAAATGCAGAATCAGAGGTCCTATCCTAGACCTACTGGCTCACAAGATGGCCAGGTTAACTATACCAAGCAGTGGCAAGGATATAGGACAAGTGTAATTCCATTATACTAGCAGAGGTGGCATGGAATGGGACAGTCAAGAAAACAGTTAAGTTAAATGTGCATCTACAATAAGATCAAGCTGTCCTCTCCTAAGTATTTGGTCAAGAGGAATGAAAACATAGGCCTACTAGAAGACTGTAAATGTTCATACAGGTTTTATTTGCAGTACTACGAGCAATGCACAGGCCAGTGAGTAAACAAACTTAGGGATTCACTCATAGTGAGATACTACTTGTCAGTAGTATCAGAAGGTATAAAAAGAAAAGAAAAAAAAAAGAAGGGGGACAAACTATTGATGCACACAACATGGATCAATTTCAACTTACAATGCTGAGAGAAAAAAAATAGTCCAAAATAAATGGTCTAAAGGGGCTTGTTTAAATGTATTTAAATGTCAGCGAATATAAACTAACCTGTGATTGACTAATGATTGCTGATCTGCTGGGTTGATGTAGGTGTGGAGAGATGGATAGTCTAAGCAAAGGCACACAGAAATTTTGAGGCATGATGACTATGTTCATTGTCTTTATTGTGCTGATGGATTCTTGGCCTCAGGTATCTATTAAAACTCACTAAAATTTACACTTTAAAGATGTGCAGTTTATGATGCTAATTATACCATAGTAAAGACATATAAGAAAAAAGAAAAGGATATCTTTCCTCACAGCATTCTAAATTCAGCCAGGAGTGGCGATGGTTTTATTGATTTTATTTTCTAAAGTCTTCCATAAAGTTACCGTAATAAATATTCAGGCCTACAAAGTACATGCCATTACTGATGTTCTCTTTGATATGAGTCCCTGGTTTAGTACACAGCCTGCATAGCAACCTGAAAACCTCCTTGTTCACCTTAATCCCTTCCTGAGTCTAGGGAAACTTACAAGAAGATTGATTCACAGGAAGCTTGCTATTTCTGCAGCTACTATTTTGAAAAGTGAGTCTCACTGTATAGCCCAGGCTGGCCTGAGACTAGCTGCCTACCTGTCTGGGCTCCCAAAGCATGGAATTACTGGTATGCCCTACCATGGCTGGATTGAAAGGTTATTGTTAATGGCTAAATGGTGGTAGAGACTCTTGCTGGATATTTCATCCTGACCATAAAAACCATTAAAATCTCCCAAGTGTGCCCAG